ATCATTCCCCTAGAGCACTATTTCACACACATCTTCTGGTCTTCGTTGGGACCCCCTGCCAACTCGCGCATTCTCACATCCCCGCTCACATACCGCGTCGATTGCCTCCACGCAACTCTCTCCCCTTGATTCATGGGCGCCATGTATATTTGTCTTCATGATTTAAATGCGATACTGTTGCACGGGTCACGTTTGGGTTCGTCTTCGATCGTCCTGGTCTTTATTGGTCGATTCGTTTAGCGTTGTGTAGTTTCTATGTAAAGTTTGTGTCAATTTGATGTACCAGCTGTCTCACGTTACTTCGTTAGTGCGCCTCGCGTAGAAGGGATGGTGGCGCGGAAATGGTTCCTGCTCGTGGGCGAGAACGGCAAGGATCTCACATCGACGACTTCTGTCGGGGTGGATGTTGAAGATGTGGATACGTTGCGGGATGCGGTGAAGGAGAAGCTCAGAGACAGCCACCTAGCAGGGATTGCTGCGTCCGATCTCACAGTCTTTGCGAACCGGGCGGAGTACGATGCGAAGCGAAGCGTGCTGCTGCCCCAGTCGTGGTCCCCCAGTGACGGCGTATGGGAATAATGGAGAGAATGCGCTCATTGTGCAACTGCGAAGCGCGCAGAAAGCGATTCAGCGCTATTTTATCCCGAGCCAAGACGTTCAGAGAACAGTGCGAAAGAGGCAGTATTTGTGATCGTGGAAGAAGACGAAGAACGCAACGGTGTTGGAATGGGTGTGTTTTTCAGCCCGACTCTAGCGGTGACATGCGACCATAACCTAACGGAGCAACACACTGTGGGAAGCATGGTGTCTCTGGCGTTGAAGGAAGGTATTGAAGCTGTTGAAGTTGTTGCTCGCAGCTCTCTGCTGGACTTTGCGATTTTGAAGTCGTCCAAACCCAGATCATTCTTCATTCCTCCATGGAATGGAAGACCAGATGAACTAAGAGGACGCTATGATCTTGTGTTGGCATCGTATCGACTCGGTATTGACGAATACCAAGACGTGTTTAAGAATCAACTGGGATTTGCTCCGGTAGCCGGCATCTCCATCAGTGCTCACAGAAGACACATCATGTATTCGTGCCCAACGTACGCTGGAGATTCTGGTGCTGCACTTCTTATCAAGGATGGATTTCTTGTCGGTATCCATCTGGAAACGATCAATGCACTCCGCGAAGAGATGGACCGCAAGAAAACCGTCAAGGATCGCTTGAATGATGTGGAGGAGTCTCTGGACAACATTGCGAGAAGCGGACTAGCGCAAGGCTGCTCAGGTCTTTTGGTTCATGAGTTCAAGGACGTAGTGAGCGAGTAGTGCGAATTGACGAGTTCATAAATTGATGGCACATCTCAGTCACGAAAAAAGGTGTCACAACGAATGTTACATCCTCGGTAGCCAAAATCGGAGGGTGCCGTCGCGATCTCACATTTACCGATATACCATGAATTCATGACCTGATTGGACAAAAACAATCATGAATTCATGAACGAAACCACCCCGTAAACCGGTATTGTACCGACAAAAAAGGCAACCACCTTATCAGAAGCAACGATGTACACTTCTTCACTGAGATATATAGATTGATCTAGAGTTGCTATCGTGGCTTCTAATGAAAAGAAAGATGGACATAATAGCTGGACGCAAGCCGAACACAATGCCTCTCGCAACAATGAGCTCGTCATCTAAGTGTATCGAAACATAGCAATACCCCCTGTTTCGATAAAGGATACAAAATAATTCACACATGGACACTTCGATGATGTCGATTCCGTTAATGTGTCGTACTCATACAATATTTAGCGATGACACGATACACTGACGAGCCCGCTAATGTGTCGTCTGCTGATAATTCCTGAGTACGACATCTTAAAAAATGACGAGTCCATCTTAAGCGAAGTCTATTAAGAATAAACAAAACATAATTTTAGTCACACAACTACGAAAATGTGCAGCTTCATTGAAAGCAACGTGGAGCAGTGAAACTTGCTCGCAACAAGGATTGTGGCAACAACTGCGAATTATTATTGATCGAGAAGGAAATTATTTGTCGTAGAGACTAACATAATAAAAGAAATGCCGCCTCAACGGAATACCCCAGCTATTGCTGAGGTTATTCCTACACCAACCCCATCGGTGATCAAGCCCGTCAAGGTCTCGAATATCTGTGTAAGCAAAGTTCAAGAATTGGATGAGTCGATTCTCGCACCGGTGATCGCGGTTAGCGTGGTATATAAAGAGGATCAAAGTTCGGAATCAGAATTACCCCTCCGTTACCAGAAAGTCCGAGTTGGAACCGCCTAATGTAAATCGTAGCGTACGACTTCGTTTTTACAGTACTAATTGTATGTGCGTGTCTTGTCCACGTCAATATCTCCTCGATTCCCGCTACTAACTCCCAGAGGTTTAAAATCTAAGTCGTAAGCGTTACTGTAACGGGGTACGTAGCACTAAGTGTACCCTGGTTACATGAAGTGTGACACTTCACACTTCAGGAGTATGACATGTCATACTCCGGGATATTTGGTACAAGGTACCAAGGTCATTCAAAACCAACCATTGGTTAAATGACATTGCATTACTATAGGTAACTGATAGTTTGTATTAACCTCAAACTTAACCTACCTATAAATATACTCAGTTTACAATCTACCTTATTTAGGTCACTTCGCTCTCTTTAATTAAAGAGGGGACCTGTGAACTGCCGTGCACTGAGAGTTTGTATACTCTCGGAAGATAACTTCCTCTAGCGCAAGGTGCTGTGTGACCCCGTCACACTTGGTAGCACTTGTAGTCAATCCACGCCATCGCGGGTAGACTACCTGAACCTCCGAAGTTCGTTGCCATAGATAGGAACGACTTCTCCCATATGAACGCCTCTCAGCTCGAGTCGGTTCGGAAGATGGCAGGCATCTTCGGGATGGAGGCCTGCAGAGCCTGGTGGTATCAACACCGGCTGAGCAGCTCGAGCGCGTCAATGCATTCGAC